CATGTCTCACTTTTTCTCTCTGATTTCCTGAATGTCATTTATACAGTGTCTAACCCCCTCAGGGCCTTTGTGCTGAACCTTCCCCACAAGCACTTGAACCCATTTCCTACTTTGGAAATGCCATTCCTTTCTGGGCTTCCCCACACCTCCCTCAGACTCAAGTCAATGTCACTGTTGACTTAATGTTGGAGGAAGGGGCCACTTCCTTTTTCCGTCTGCTGTGTGACACTGAAAAAGTAGCTGGTGTTGTATTTGGTATTATTCAGGAATATTTCCGTGCTTAGACCTTGGTTTTCCAACCTAAATAATTCTTTTATTTTGCATACTCTTCTTTCTCCATGTAACCTGCCTCCCCTTTGCAGTGGGCATGGCCCTTTGGGGATCTTTGTGATACTTGCTTAAAATCCAAGAATTAGGTTCTTAAAATCTTGAGGCCCTTATGTAATATTATGTGCACATCTGTTGAGAGAGCTGCCTGTGGCCCGTCTGAATGGAGACACCCATGAGCTGGCTGCTGGAGAACATTCCCAAGATTATTTCACTGACTGGGAATTGGCACTGTGCCTATGCAAATTCATTGCAAGAGAACATTTCGCAGAGCACTTATACACTGAATTATTTGCTACCTCGTCTTCTCTATCTCTTCCTAGTGGCACCTCTCCTGTCAACATGGTGGCCCACACACCAAAACAAGGGAAGGATTTTGAGTTTCTCTCATTCAGGGGCCTTGGCCCATCATTGAAATGTCATGGTTTTTCACACAACCAGCGCCTGGCCAGCACTCTCAAGGTGGGATGGTGGTGAAAGTCTTCATTTCTGTGTATCATCCCAGACTATTACTGTGGATAGAGTCAGTGATTTGGGGAGGATAGAACAAATGAAATGATTGTTTCCAACCTCTTGCTAGGCATGTGATAACAAATATTTTGATCAAGGTGGGGATTCTTTGTGCCAGAATCCCCTGCTCTCTGTTCTTCTAAAAGTGTCGTTTCTGGAAGGTTCTGGAAGGTTCTATTCCCTCTCTGGAGGAGGATGTTACGATGGTCAGGTTGCCCTGTGAGAAAGAACAAGCCCCTGCGCACGTGCCCAGCCCGGCTCATATTCACCACTGGCCACCTGCTGCCTTTCACTTACTTCCCTATTCCAGGAATAAGTTTCCTGACAACTGAGGCCAAGCCTGGGGCAGAGGCTGAAGAAATGCAAAGGGGAGAGACTCTCTCCTCCTCAGCTGCACCTCTGCAAGTTGTGCGTCGTCCTGGCTGGCTCTGCTCACGCTGCACTTCGAGTCTGTGTAGACCCCGCGTCAAGCTGGCTGCCCTAACACCACCACCAACTGGGCAGCTTAAGCAGCAGAACTTAGATCTCAGTGCTCTGGAGGAGGGCAGTTCATGGTCAGTGTGCTTTCGGCGTTGGTTTCCTGTTTTCTTAGCCTCTTACACCTGCACCCACACAGGGCCTTCCCTCTGAGGTCTTTGGTATTGCTTCCTGTTCTGAAAGGATACAGCCCTGCTTTAGCTGAAGGTGCACCCTATAGCCACAGTTAGCTTTTACTGTTGTTCTATGCTGTATTCCAGGTGTAGTCATATGGGGGGCTGGGAGACTGGGGACTCAGTAGTGAATTTGCAGGTGCGTTGTTCAGTCTGTAGTGCTCCATGAATATCAGTTGGATATATTAGCCGGCTGCAGATGAGGTCTGCCGTGATGGAAGGAGTTTGTGAATTTTGGCGTGCAGTTGAAAGGAGAGAGTGGGGACAGAAACAGAGCAGAGTGCTGCTGTGCAGCCCCCCAGAATATGAGGACCCCGTCACGTCGGTTCGTAGGTCTCAGTGTCGCTCTGGTCTTGCTTGCTGGAGGCCAGCTGGCTACTGTCAGGGATTAATGAGGACACGAGTGGCAGCTTCGTGTCCTGTGGATCAGTGGAACTCATTTTGGGGAGACATGAGCAGGTGAGAATAGTACAACCAGAGACAGATGCAGGGGAGCATCGCGGGGCCACCCAGGATTCCAGCGCAGAATCACCGCTAGCATTATACAACTGGCAAAACACTCAGGACTTGCTGAGCCGGAATTCAGGTCTTTTGAGTCCAGAAGTTCTGGTTCTGAAAATGATTTGCGTTCACTCCATCTCACAGGTTTTTAAAGCTAATCTTCAAATTGTGTACTCTTTGTTTCTTAGAGGAGATTTTGGTCAAAATAGAAGCAATGGGATCACCTACAAAACTGGTGAGCATTTACATGTGCGCATTTCCTGGGTTCCCTAATGACATCGCACTGCATTTTCAGAACGTCTCTACATGCGCATGTATGCGCAGCACGGGTCTACACACAGTATTTACGAAATCATCCATAGCAAACACCTTGTTCTTTAATATAAATATTAAAGTTCAGACTTGGGTAAAAATTCAGTTTTGTCTTTGTTTTTATGACAATTTAATGATGAACTGAAAGGGATAATGGGCTCTTTTCGAAGGGCTTGTCTTCATCGCGACTTGCGGGGACTGCCCGGGGCTGCTCTGGAGAGCGCCGGCTGCGTGCTTCGTGCCAGCCTGCTTCGGGCTTTCTCCTACCTGTTACATCCAGTGAGTGACTTCATTCCTCATCCTTGTGCAATGCCATGTGAATTTTCTAACAAATTTCATTTTCCTGTTGTTGTTGGCTTCCATTTTGACCGCAGTCTCTTCTCAGAATAATAAATATCGCGCTGTGGTCCTTATCTCCGTCTACTTCTGCATCTTCGGTGTAGTCCGGCTCGGCCCGGACTGACAGAGCAGTCACCCGAGTGGGGATTAAGGGCATGGGAAAGAACAACGTCAGGCCGGGCGAAGCTCTTGTAAGAGAACCGCTTGCTACTTTTCTAGAATCTGAACACTGAGTGTTGGTGTAAAGAGTAGAAACATCAGCGTGTAAGCCGCACGCTGCTGCCTGCGCTCCCTCAGCTCGCAGAGCGTTTCTTCTTCACAGCGCGATCTCAGGAGCTGCCAGTCCCAGAACCCTCAAGCCAAGGAGACCGAGCGCGAGGCGCTGCCTGTGCAGTAATGATTCTGCCCAAACTGTCCCTGTGCAGCGTAACCCACTGCCCGCCGCCGCCTTGCCCAAGGGGTACAGACTTTAAGGCTTTCAAAAGGGGAAGATGTTCTATTGTCCTTAAAGCGATTAAAATCAAGCACTTTTAAGTATAAGAGCACTTGAGCAACTAAGAAATGTTTCCCAGGCGCCGGCCCCGCCCCTGGGGGCGTGCTGAGGTGGTGATTGGGACTGGGGTGGTGGCGCCCACCTGTAATCCCAGTATGTGGGAGGCTGAGAACAGGAGGATCACTATGAGTCCAGTCTATATAGTGGGACCCTGTAGACCCTGTACTAAATACATTAAAAAAGGAAAGAAAGAAAAGGAAGAAAGAAATGCTTCCCATGGAAACCTTGTCCTAATACATTTTTACCTGGTATTCCAGCCTTTTAGGAGTCCGATTAGGCTGTAAGGGTGCTTGCTGTTTCCTTTAGTCTTGCCTGATTTTGAATCCTCAGCTTTTTCTCAGTCCCTCTCGCTCACCTCTCCTTCCTCAGTGCCCTCCTTCCGCTGACCAAAGGGCCCAAGCCCCTGAGTGTTAGATCCATGCGTGTGAGCGCACGCCGGCAGCCCCTTCCCTCATACCGCCCGGGGCTTTGGTCTTGTGAGAGCTGTGGAACTTCCCTGCCTATAATGTACCTCCCAGCCAAAGACGTTCCCACTAACCTCTCTCTCTGCGCTGGCATTGCGAAGCAGCCCTCATGCCAAATCCCACCTTCGCAAGTGACAGAAGGCTCCATAGACTTCCCGACAGCCTTGTTCTAGCAGTTCAGCGGCCTAGAATGTCCTTTGTTCCATTGATAATGCTGTTCTGCGGCATTTAGGTTTACAAGACAAAATAAGCTTTTGGAGTTTTTTCAACCTGTTTTTAATTTAAAGGTAATAAGCTCTTTGCCTGAGAAAATAACTGCCACCAACCACATGGACAGACACCTGGCGTTTCCCTAGCCAGCGGTAAAGTGATGCTCTCTGTACTCAGAGATAAGGACAAAAATGCAAATAGCCTGGAGGGAGGAAACATTTATCAAATTATACTCACCCTGCCCTGCAAATGAGTGATAGGAGAGTCTGTCCCCAAAGGAGGTTGACCTACCGTGGAGCAGGAGGGAGTGTGCTCAGGGGGGCTCCCAGAGCACTTTGATTCTTAACTCTTTACATCTGGTTTTTGAGAAAATTATTTTCTGTAGAAGTCACATTTTATGCCAAGGATAAGTTCTAAAGTCAGTGTGAACACACTGCAGGGTAGAAAAATCTCTTGAAGGTCCCTTCCATCCCCACGACTGTGCAGTTCTCTGCCACTTCCCAAGAAGCCCAGCACTGCTGTGCCTTCTCTTGCTCAGCAGGTAAGTGGGCGGCTGGTTCTCCCGTGGAATTCCAGGTTCAGATAGCAACAGCGCCCTAAGGTAGCACAGAAAGCACACCCAGCGTGTGTTCAGTGCCGCAAGAGCCTCTCAAAATATGAGAGCCGCAGGGGCGCTGAGCCTCACACGGCTCACGGCCGTAGACCTGCTTGGCCCGTGTGTGCTCAGACCGAGTCATTTGATGCATACATGCTCAGGAATGGAATGGGGGAAATGTCACATAGCATCTGAATTATTTTCTCTCTTGTTTATTTCTTTTCTTTTATCACTGAAAGGACAGTTGAATTTGCACAAGTTGAAATCCTCTGAGTGTGCAACCAAGTGCCCAGTGCTTGGACGCGCCTTAATTTCACTCCACCTCTAGAGAGAAGATGGGCAGCTATGGTGAAGAAGAGAGGGTGGAGGGCTGGTTCCAAGCCACGATCATGAGTGCGGATCGACAGTCCCGGACTTTCACTGGGGCTATGGCAGTTGGATACATTAGTGTCCCTTCTGATGGGTCTCTCTCTCTCTCTTTCTCTGTCTCTGTCTCTCTCTCTCTCTCTCTCTCTCTCTCTCTCTCTGTCTCTCTCCAGGCTAGTCCATTCAGGTCCAGGGAAGGGCTCACCCCAGGCTGGAATGGATCTGTCCTTCGCAACACGAACTGGAACCAAGAAAGGAATTGAAACGCATCTCTTCCGGGCAGAGGTCAGCAGGGACCTCTCCCAGTGGACAAGGAACATTGTACAGGGATGCCACAACGCAGCCGAGCTCACTGCTGAAGTCACCACCGGTGAGTACTGCCAGCTGCAGGCCACCGCAGTCACATCCTTGGTGGAAGGACACACCCTGTGTTCTACCCTGGTATCGAAGGAGTGTCTGTCACTGGGCTTTCGAGGCACTTAAATCCCAGCAGCAAATCATACTAGACTCTACTATTTACTTGCTGCATGTTGAACATTTTATATGTCTGCAATTTTTCCAAACAGTGAGAAAAACATGTTGCATGTGTCCCAAATTAACTCACTGAAGCAAGGCTCGCATTTAAAAAAGGCAATAGAATGGAATAGAGATATCAGCGTTAATATTGTTTTCATAGTCTGTAAAACCTTTTGATTTGAATGTGCATGGGTGCCCTGCACCTCGGAACCCTGCCCCTCTCATCTGATCCAACTCCTTGTCACCAGGACACATGAGGAAGCAAATTCTGAAGAAAGGCCAAGGAGCCCAAGGCCATGCCATTAGCTAGGCTGTGCTCACCCTCCATCCTGCAGCGCCTATGGAGACGTGGGCCTGCCCCTTGTGGAATGGGACCAGCAACACCAGCTTTATTCAGGCTGCTGCAGTGAATGATTTTCATGCCACTCTGTCATCTGTAGAGGAATAGATGATGGATGTCAACACGAGAGAAACACGGTTGATTTAAGTTTTTCAATTGGGCAAAGATAAGAGACTGCAAAAGTAATTTGCATCTAAAATAATGTTAACAGATTAAATACGTACTGTAAACTGTGTATTTGGTAAGGAGGCCTCCACACTGGAGGCAGTATTGAGCATCAGCCTACACAGTCCACAGTTAGGGTCTGTGCTCTGGTTCCCAGTCCCAAGATCTAAGGCACACTGATATGGATTCTGAGACCCATGAGCAACCTCTTCCAGTCCCCTATGGATGGGGACACACACACACACACACACGCACACACACGGCACCAGGTGACGTAGTCAGCAATAGTCTTGTAGTAACTCTGACTTTGTCTTGGTTAGGATTGCTGCTTCTTGTGTTTTCATTTCTGTCTCTCAGGAAGGTTATAAACATGGGGGATTTTCAATTCACAAGACGGATTCAATGTCCAGTTTTATTTCTGTTTTAACCACTTCATCCTTTCGTTCACTTACAAAATGACTTAACAATGCTAAGTGAATGATCCTGCCATATAAAACACAAGTATCTTGTGTGTATCCAAAAATGAAATACAGACAAATCATAAAGTCAAGAAGAGCATGGACCAAAGTACTTCAAGTCTTGCAAGAAAACAAATTCCAACCCAGACTGATATAACCTCAAAACTCTTTCAAGGATAATGGAGAAGTAAAATACTTCCACGACAAAGAACAACTAAAGAATTACATGATGACAAAGCCAAGCCTACACAGACTACTAAAAGATATTCTAGAGAGGGATCAAAATGACCACAACTCCATGAATGAAAACAGAAAGAACCCACCAAATAGGTCAAACAATTAAACACAGGCGAAAAAAAAGGTATACAATAGCAGTCTTTCAATTATTCTTTTGTATGTAGCAACAAAATATTCCCATCAGCATACTCTACAAATGTACTTCTCCACCCCATGGGGCATGATTCTATCTGGCTCTACAGGGTGGACATCAAGGAAATAGCAGTAGCTCAGTCCCACAAGTGACCACCAGGCCACCAGTAAGCGTCATGGACACTGTCCACGTCCACAACATACTAGAACTTTGTGTAATATCCTATCTCCAAACTGTTAGAAGTGCTGATCATATATTTGCCATTCCAGTATTTTTGTTATATTTTATTCTTAGTAATTCTTTACTACCATGAAAACTTTTTCTTAGTTGAATTGTTTTGAAATAATTTTTAGTTAAGATTTAATTAATCTTCTGAAAATTATTTAATCTTAATTTTTGTTTTAAGATTTATACGGTATCTTTGACTTACAACCTACTTATAAGACATGGTATGATATTTTCTCCTGGTATTAGAAACTTTAAAAAGTGTATTTCCATTTTCCATTGACTTTATATTACTTCTTCCTTGTCTTTTACACACACACACACACACACACACACACACACAATATGTATATGACCCGACATAATATTGATACTGTTTTGTAGAAATCTTCAGTGGCCTTTTCCGTGGGTCATCTAATACATTTTGCACAGTCCTACAGTGATTTCTCAGTCACTGAACAGCTCCAGGCTCAAGCTTCCCATTGCTCACAGCAAGCCTTTAAAATACATCCGTAGTGTTTGTAACTCTGCTCAGTAGCAAAACTGACAACCCGACTTGAAAAGACCCGGACAGACAAGAGTGGCTCGTGACTCGCGCCTCACCACAGACAAGCAGGGCTGCCGCCGCAGTCTAAGGCCGGGCAGCATCAGGGCTTGTGCTGGGGGACTGGGGCACTCATTATTGTGCTTTTTTTGCATAAAATATTGTAAATGTGGCTCCAAAGAAAATCGGTCATCCAGCAATAAAGCTAAGAGAGAAACCGTAAGAGCCATGATCGGCTTAAGGAAAGAAATCATTGTGAAACTAGTTGAGGTCCTGGAAAAATAAAATTATAAGTGTGATTTTGGGCCTTAGAATAAATTTTGCTTTTTCATCATTTCTCGTGGAAAAAATGCATCCAGTTCTCAAACATTTTGGTGTTTTTGAACACGAATTTGGAACAAATTTGGCTTGACAACCAGGGTATCATTGTAGGACCTTCACTAAAGGCTCAGCACTTCCAGCATTCCAAAAGTCAAAGTGTGTTCAGAGACTTAAGGCAAACTCTTAGCTGTGCACTTCTGTAAAAATAAAAAATAAGTTACATATTTCAACGTACAATGGCAAAAGGTAAACATTTCCGTTTCAAAAGGAAAGAATAAAAGATAGGAAAAAACTAGACCAAAGCAAGACTGAAACCCAGTAGGACAAATAATAGGTCCTGCCCCAAGAGCCAGAAACTGTGGAAGTTGATTGGATTATGGGGTGTTCTGCTGGCTTGGTGTTAGGAAGTGGGGTTGGGTAGGAGGAAGTGGGCTGCTGGGGGGTGACCTGCAAAGGTACACCTCCTTCTGTGCCTCCACAATTTACTTTCTGCTTTCTGGCTGCCTCAACATGAGCAGCTTCTGTGGGTGATGTGAAGGTCTGCTGTCGGCAGGATCTGAAGCCAGGCCCCCTTGGGCTGTGGCTACAGCGACCTCCAAGTGTCTGGGTAGCTGAATACAGTAAAAAGAATCCCAGAAAACTAATTTCATGAATAGCCTTTCTTGAGCCTTGGTACCAGGAACTTTCTTCACAAATAAAAGGTTAATACTTTCCCATCCTAGAGCCTGCAGTGGGTATGGTCTTGCTAATTTCTGAGATACCCTGAAGGCATCTTTCTTTTTGTCCCTATACAAAGTATTTGGTTGCCTTTGATGGTGTTGATCTCTTTAGCAACCACATCTCCTTTGTCCCCAACTTTACCGGTGGTCTGTTCTGGGCCAAAATTTAAGTTTTGCAGCTATTTCTTCTTTGCTCTGTGCTACTGATTATCATTATAAATTTATCTAAAGCAAACAGCAAAAACTAGGCTACAGTTTGAATATTTGCTGGTCTTGAAATTTCTTCCACCGGGTCAGTCAGTCCACCATCTCTAATCTCAGTCTCCTGCAGTGACAGAACATGGGCGAAATGTGGAGCTTTTTTCCAGATCGTAACATATGTAGCCTTTAATCTAATGGCCAGGGAAATCCTCAGCCTAACTGAAACCTTAGGAGCCTGGCACGCCCCTGGGACACAATACATAAAACCCACAACTTCAAAGAGAAGGGGCTTGGTCCTCCGTCCTCCGTGGGCTGGAGGATTCTGTTTGTGGTCTGCAGTGCACAGGCATTGTGGTAGAAGGGTGTGTGGCAGAGGAATTCTCGCATGGTGGCAGCCAGGAATCGGAGAGAGGAAGGAGGAGCCGCAGAGGGAGACGCAACCTCCAGCTGTGCGTTCCTGGAGACGCAGCCTTCCAAAGCGACGCTAGCTTCTTGCAGCACATTTAGCTATGCATCCAGCACTAGAGTAGTCCACAGGTTAACACAGCGCCCCATGGTGCCGGCCAAATAGCTCAGTGGATTAAAGTGCCTGCAAGCAGGGGCCAGGGGTTCCATCCAGATGGCTATTGAGACTGGGCGTGGTGGCATGTGCATGTAATCCCACCTCTTGGGAGACTGTAAACAGGAGAATTACTACGAGTCCAATCTAGTAGTGAGGCCCTGAACACCCAGTAGACCCTTCCCTAAAATACAGAAAAAATAAAATAAAAAATATAGTACCCCATGATGCAGCCACTTTCCAAACCTGGGCCATGAACACACGAGGCTTCTGAAGGATGCTGTAGATCTGAATCCCAGCAGAGATGGTCCAGCTCCTGGCTGGCCAGCTCGGGGGGCGCATCATGACACAGTGGTGGGCAGGACATGGATGTCCAGTTATGGCAGCTAGGAAGCAGAAGAAGGGGCCAGAGTCCAAGAGGAAGGGGCTGGAGCTCAGCTGTTACCCCTATGGCCCTCCCTGCATCCACTCATAACTCTTCGTGCATCCCCTGGGGGGCTTTCAAGGCAATCAAATGAACAGTATTAGCTAGCACATGTCTAGAACTTTGCTGCCCAGTATAATAACCTCTTTAGGGCTATGAACATTGAAAGTACTAATTAAAGTTTAATCGTTTCTCAGCTGCACTAGCTGCGTGTCAAACCTCCTGTGCCCAGTGGCTGTGGTACTGGACAACACGAATGCAGAACAGTCCTGTGCTGGCATCCTCAGGAGTCTTAGATTGCTGCCTGTCCCCCATCCCTGGGGATTAAGTTTCAGCGGCCCTGGAATGGGGCCCGAGAACTGGCATCTAACAAGAGTCTAGGGGCCGCTGACACCTGTGGTCCATGGGCGGTCCCACCGGGGCACAGCCTCTCCTTGCCCAGGAGTGTCCTCCTCAATAGAGCGACAGCACCTTGCGCTACAGTCTGGTTGCTTGTTCAGATTTCCTCCGCTCATACAGACATGAGATGGCAGATGTTTTGTAGAATCACTGCTGGATCCTATCCAGGGTGGTTGGCGCCTTTTGATAATTATCTTTGAATTAACGTGTGCCACCAAGTGATCACTACTAAAAACTTGTAGGGAGTGTTCCTGAAGTTTTTCATTTTTGATAATTATATGATCTGGCAAGAAAGATGAGTTTTGAACTTGAGAGCTGGAAGAGGTCCAAGTCACCCAAATACTAAATTTCATAAATTTATGTGTGACGCCGGCAAAGTTCAGCCTGTGAGCAGCAACTCTGGAAGCATTCCAGGAAAGGATGAATAAGTCTAAAGGGATCTGGCTTAGTTTGCATTGCATAAATTTTGTACAATCTTTCTCTTAATGACCAAACTCTAATTTGATAGGAAAATGAAACTATTCATAGACTAGCCAAAGGAAAATAACAAATAGTTTTATGAACTGAGCTATCTGAGTAATAGCGCAGAAGAAATTATGGGCATGATCAAAGGTGTAACCCAATTACAATCTGAAAGATGCGTTCAGATAGGTGGAGGGGGAACTGCTATTTTAATTAGGGTTTCAATTACCATAGTAATGTCTTCAATTTATCCTGTATAGACTGAGAGCCTCTCTAGATAACTGATTCCATTATATGAAGGCCATAAATAGCGTCTAAGGTCAACCAGAATTAAAAGTAATCACAACCAGTTAATTCGCAATATCTGATAGCGTTGCTTTAAAGTTCAAACCCAGAAGGAAATTGGGAAAGTATATTCCGTGCCCCTTTGCGCATCCTGCAGGTAGTAGAAGTAAAGACTATTCAGAAGGGGCGTCCCCGTGCACGGCCGTCACTGTCGCAGTACCACTGCCCTCGGACTGGAGAGGTGCAGGGGAACAGGACTCCCGGCTCTGTGCAGGACTCGGGTCCTTTAGCGAGTATTCATTAGGGAGAAGTCAGCCCTTAGGAGAAGCTGAAAGGTGGCGAAATATGTCAGGGAGAGAGCCATGGACTTTCCCATGGGAGCCATAATGAAAAGCCGCTCATTCTGTGAGTGCTAGAGAGTGCACTGAGTGCTGAGGCTTTCCCCACTGAACTGTCCTGCCCATGAAGGAGGAAGCTGAGAAGCCCTTCGTCGTGGCCCCACCCCGTGTCACAAGTGTTGGAACACTAGAAAGCACCACGAGACAGACTGGAGTGAACTTGAGTTTTGAAACTTCGACATCCCTCTAAGCTTCTTCATTTTTTAATTTATTTCTTGTCCTCTACAATCGGAATATTCCTGCTCCTTAAGTTTGAGCTAACCTTAAGTTCAGTGTGGTTTAGCAAGCTGAGCATGACGGACGTGCCAGGGCCATTCTGAGTCAGTGTCACCATCATTACTTCTGCCCCTGCCCCTCCAGCAAACAGTGTTCTGACTGCCCTAAAACTCACTGAATTTTCGATCAAGGCCAGGGCCAATTGAACTGCCAGGATTAAAAGTCCAGCCTCCCTCCTAATTTTCTTTCCCAGAACTTTGGGATTAAGGGTTTTCAATGACATCTTCTCAGCTCTTCCCAAGTAGGAGCTGGAATCCTGGTGGCTGCCCTGCTGTCCAGCTCAGAAGCTCAGAGCTGCACTCTTTCCAAACACAGTTAGAGTCTCCAGTGATAGCTGGCACTCAGCTTGTTCAGGAGTTTTGTCCCTCTGGATGCAAGAGTGCCTCATGGGTGCTACTGCTGAGGCCCCCGGAAGCCAGAGGAGGACATGTCACCCTTCATAGAAAACACCACACATGGCAACTATCTGCAGCAGCAGCTTCTCAAGGACCTAAGATCTTAGGGTAATTGAAAGAGTGGCCCTGTTATGCTTGTGCATAGGTGGCCCCTTGAAGCCTTGTGCAGGCCTAGTAGGAGCTGGATGTAGGGTGTGTGCTGTGGGGATTAATGGTGCAATGCTGGGGTTAAGGGTGCCCACTCTGGGCATGAGTGCTGCCCTTCTGTGGTGGCTTGACGCCTGGTGGTCACCTGGTTGCACCCAGCTGAACTGAACTGCCATGGTGCTGGGTGTGGGAGGCCCTGTGGGTTGTTGCCAACAAAATAAAAAGGAGGACTGGAGAAGAAGAGAAACTGTTAGGGAGCCGTTGGTTCTCCTGAGGAGCTTGTCATGTGGCTTTCCTGACGTGAATGTGACTCTTATCATCGTCAGAAGAGCTCGGGACCTTGTTCCTGAGAATGGCTGCTACTCACCTTGGGGGAGCTCTGGTCCTTACCTTGAGCACTGTTTCCTGGCTTTGAAGGGCAAGATGGTCCCTGTTCCGACTCCTGGAGAAGCTTGTCATGCTGATTTTCCTGATGTAGACTCAGCTGTTCTCATCCTCAGAAGGACCTTTGGACCTCACTGTTGCAGAGGACAGCTGTGGTACCTTTGGGGGAGCTCTGGTCCTTGCCTTGAGCGTCTCTTCCTGGCTCCAGTTCAGATCCCTCAGCCCACTGGCACAGACCCTTCATCCCGCTGGCGTAGACTTTCTAGCTTCCACCACTGACCTTTGTGCCTTTCCAGCACAGCTCCATGAAACAGGCCTGCATGACACATTGTCACAGGCTCTAGGCCTCCAGCTGGACTCGTGGGGGGCATTGCTGTGGGACCCAGGCCCTCAGTAGGATTCTTTTGGTCTTTTGTGTGTGGATAGATTTCCTGTACTCTCTGTATATACGACTTTGGGTAACCATTATAAAATAAATAATCATATAAATTATGTGCCCTGTATTGTTCTGCTTGTAAACCCCAAACTACACCACTGTCCTAAGGGTAGGTAGTCTGGATGGAGTATGGGACAGAAAGAGGAATGGCGCCATCACTTGCTGTTTCTCCTGCTACTCACTGTGGCTTGGCTGCCTTCTGCCTGCCCTGCTTTGCCACAGACTGATGCCCCCTGCCACTATGCCAGCCTTGGAGCCAGCCAACTATGGCCTAAAAACCTCTACAAACTGTGAGCTAAATAAACCTTTCCTCTAACTTTTGGTATCATGTATTCCTGACTCTGCAGTGTGAAAAGTACCCAAGATACCCTCTTTCCATGTCTGAAACAAACTTAGTCCTTTTTAAAATAACAGTTACAGGCTAGCTCATCGGTCTAAGCACCTCCCTGCCAAGAGCAAGGACTTAGGTTCAATCCCTGATACCACATGCCATGCTGACCCAGAACTCTGGGTACACTGTGGGGGTCAGTGAAGCCAGATGTGGTGCCATACCCCTATAATCCCAGCACTGGGGAGGCTGAGACAGGAGGATCACTACAAGTACAAGCTGCATAGCGAGACCCTGTACCAAATAAATAAGTTTAAAAACATTTTTATCTTTTTTTGGTGGAACCGGGGATTGAACTCAGGCCCTTGCACTTGCCAGGGAAGCGCTTATTCTACTGAGCCATCTCCCCGGCCCCTAAATACTTTTTAAATGGAAGTTATCTTATTTTTAAAGAACTCATACCTGAGCTCCTCAGGGTCTTCCATCTGTTCGTTTGGGTAATAATGGGAGAATGCTTGCTTGTTTCACCCAGTGGCAGACATGACAGTGTGTTGGTATGTGTGTGTGTGTGTGTGTGTGTGCATGTGTGTGTTGGGAATGCCGATTGATGAATCAGAGGTGACTTACTTTATTTAAATCAAATGTGTGCTTTTTCCGGCTCCAGGCAAGCCACTCTGACCACTGACAGGCAAGTCCACCCCCATGTGTGTTATGAGATGGCCAGAGAAAGACGAGAAGCCAGCAAACCTTGAGTGAATCCCAGTAAAGGGAATTAATGTGTTGCCATCCCTCAGTTACATTCAGAGTTACAGTCCAGTATCCACATCAATCAAGGACAGTATCTTCATGAACAATGACTGTCTGTGTACTTCAGTGAGAAATCTGTGGCTAGGCCCTGGGGTTGAGGAGGCCGGAAGTACTGAGCGTGTGGGGACGTGGACTGACGGTGGTTTCCGCGTTTGTGCTTCTCTTACTCTTAGCTTGCACCTACAAAAACCAGGAGTGTCGCCTGACGGTGCACTACGAGAACGGGTTCACCCTGACCACTGAGCCGCACGAGGGCGCCCCTCCCAAGACGGTCCTGCAGTCCCCCTACGAGAAGCTCAAAATGTCTTCAGACGACGGCGTCCGGATGCTGTATTTAGATTTTGGAGGCAAAGAAGGAGAGATTGTAAGTGGACTTCTCTTCCGACTGTGTGGTTTCGTATGCTTCCCTGTTCAGCACACCTATAAGGACTGGCGGGCATAACGCGGCCCTGCACTTGGGGTCATGTGCCTCTGCAGCGTACCTGGAAGCTCACATTTCATTTGATCCTTGAAAAACTAGTTGGATTCAGTTGTTGTTTTAAAGCTCTTTGGGTCTGATTTTTCATTAGAAAACACATGAATATTACCACCTAAAGAAAAAATATTCTCTACAAGGTTAGCATTAAATGCTTATCAAATGGGATCTCACCAGCTTAAAAACTGCCATTCTTCTTCAACAAATATCCAGCAGAATTATAAGCCTGGCACTGTACCCAGTGTTTGGTGTTGGGAGGAAAGTCGATCCTCTTCTGACCACCCAGAGGTGTCTGAGGAGCACAAGGGTGGCAGCCGAGGTTGCTTGTCAAGGTGTAGAGGAAAGGGGCTTCGGGACAAGAAGAGCAGGAAACCGATCAGCTCTGAGCACGTGGGAGTTCGGGGCGGAAGTTCCATGATAGCCATCAGAGTCGGCAAACATACCGAGTAAGGGAACGTACTTCTCACACCAGAGCCGCTAGCCCCCGCGTTCCAGCGCATGATCTCCTGGGATCGCTGCTTCCTGCTGTGATGGGAAAGCCCACTCCTTCAGCTGTGCAGGGTATGAGAAGGGGACAATGTCAAGATACTTGGATTTCTTGACATTCCTCAGGAAGTCATGGGGTCTCCCGTGAGCTGTCAAGTCTCAAACTTCCCGGAGGCCCTTGATTTGGTGTGAACTGGTCTCTTCAGGCCCTCCCTGGCCACTGGACTAGTCAACAGATAGTCGTTGAAGCCCCCTTGACAACAGAGCAGAGCCTCGCACTTCCGTGTGGCCAGAGGCCCTCTGCACCCCTCTCTCTACCCCCTGCCCAGTTTTCTCCCATGGGACATCTTTGGAATTTTCTGGAAACTATTAGGGATCACCCAGAAGGTGCTAGTAGGAGGAAAGGGCCAAATATACGCTTAACAGAGTCCAAGGGCCTTTCACCTCAAAATATGTCTCTGTCCTACATCAAGGGACGGTACCCAGCCCAGAGCAGTGCAGATGCAGGCTCGAGGTGCGGCAGTTGTGAGGAAGTCTGTGTCCCGCGGCAAGCAGCCATGTCCACTCAGTTTCTGATCACTCTGTCCGGCAGCCTTGGAGTTTTCTTGGAATTTGTTGTTTATCTGTACATTTCAGTCTTGAAGTGCAGCCTGAAGCACTGTTTGGAAAGGAAGTAGTGCTTTGAAACAGCCCCCTTTACTGACAATTTTCCCAGCTTTCTTGCTGTCTTATCAGTCATCCAAGCGTCCTTGTTCCTAAAGGTGATACTCTCTGACAGTGTGGAAAGGAACAAGAATTAGTCTCCTGTTTTATCCTTGCCTTAAAAATTCAAGGCTACTTTTGCCCAAGAGGAAAATCACTTCTGTCTAAATTTTAGCCTTTCTGCCTATAATTACAACCTGACTTGGGAGATTTAAGAAAGACTGGGGTCTTTTTTCAGCACTAGTACATTACGTTGATGAGTCAAGTTCAGACACAGCCTCCAGGGCCCAGTGAAACAAGCCCAGGAGGTAGCACAGGCGCTCTGGTGTGGAAAAGGGAGAGGAGACGGGTTGTAGCACGTGCCTTAAAGCGAGGGCCAGGTTCTCATGGGCTCTTCCTGAGTCTGCAAGCCACTCAGCAGCTGTCGTGAGAAGGTCTTTTTATGTCCTGGGGTTTGCATCTCCCCTTCCATAAAATGTAGGGCCTGAAGGAGATAATGTTTAATGTACCTTCTGAAAGTCACATTCTAAGCTAGTGGCATGGAATGTGGTGGTAAGAATGATGACAAAGGGGCCATAATCAGTGTATCTTGAGTACACCACTACTGTACTTATGAGTGTCCCACTGGGTGGCACAGGACAGTCCCATCAGTTGGTACAAGCCACCCAATGGGACAGTTATGCATGGACCACTGGTGGCTCTAAACAGCTGGAAAATGTTAAGCCCTGGCTATAGCATCAGATAGACTTGTGTCTCAGTCCTCACTTTATATTTTCTGCAAGACCTATGATTTCAGAAAGTTTTGTGTCTGAAAGCCTCAACTTTTCTGGATAAAAATGGAGAAAATAGCCACCTCACAAGGTTTTTGTTGTTGTTATTTTTCCTTTTTTATTGCTAAAAAACCCCAAGATAGTAGGAGAGTAACAACAATCAATATATTGGATATTGTTATCTTTAGTGACTTGACAGTATACTTAACCCATTTTGACTGTGGCTTAGTGCATGGTGACAGACATGGAGCTAGTTTCAGTCTTCAGCACGTGGAGAGCCAGTTTTTCCAGCACCATTTATTAAAGAGGCTCTCTCTCTCCCAGGGAGCACGTTTGGCCCCTTTGTCAAAGGCAAGGTGATTGAGTGTGTTTGGGGTTTATCTGCATCTTCTAATCTGTTCCGCGATCCTTAGGTCTGTCTTATCGCCAGTGCCATGCTGATTTTATCACAGTAGCTTTATAGTGTAATTTCAAATCAGGGATTGTGATGCCTCCTCTCTTGCCTTTGTCGCCCAGGTTTGCTTTTGCTATTCTAGGTCTCTTCTGATTCCAGATAAATTTTAGAAATGTTTTCTCTAGATCCGTGAGATATACTAATGGTATTTGGATCAGGATCGCATTGAATCTATATAACAGTTTTGGGAGTCTGACCATCTTCACAATATTGGTTCATCCTATCCATGAGCAAGGAATATCTTTCCATTTTCTGAAATCATCTTCAGTCTTTCTTCAGAGAACTGTAATTTTCACTGTATAGATCTTTTCCTTCCTTTGTTAGACTGATTCCTAAGCATTTCATGTTTTTGGATACTATTACGAAAGATGTGGTGTCCCTCATTTCTCTCTGTGTGTTTGTTGTTTGTGTGTAGGAAGGCTGTTGGTTTTTGAGTGCTGACTTTGAGTCCAGCTATGCTACTGAATTTGCTTATTCATTCTAAGAGTCTTTTGGTGGAGTTTTGGGGTCTTCTATATAGAGTATCATGTCATCTACAAATGAGAATGTCACTTCATCCTTTCCTGTCCTGATTCCTTTTATTTCTCTCTCTTGTCTAATTGCGCTCGCTAATGTTTCCAGAACTATATTAACTACAAGTGGTGACAGTGGGCATCCTTGTCTTGTTCCTTATTTTAAAGTGAAAGCTTTCACTTTCTGTCCACTTAGTATGATGTTGGCCATTGCTTGTCACAGGGATTTTATGAGGAGAATTAAATAACAGAATGGGTAGCATAGTACCTGAGTTATATTGAGCACAGTCTTGGTAAAATATGCTCGTGTGCACATTGTCCTTATTCTCCAATGGTGTCATCACTAGAACAAGTTGGGGACAGCAGGACAGAATTGGGAACAAGCCCCCCCATTCCTAAAGTAGGTCAGGTGAGACAAGCCAACTTCTGACGGACTTTCACCCTCTGGTGGTGCGTGCGCTGGGTCCTGTGGGAACCTCACTGAGAGAGGCAAGGAGGCGCTGTCACAGCGATGTGGCATTCGTGCGGGGCCACAAGGACACAGCTGCTTAGCCTGGCTCCGCCCTCGCAGTCGGGTTCCAGTGAGCCCTCCGATTACCTGTGTGTGCTGGGACTGAGGAGAATTTTAGGTGACATGGCCAAACGCACACGTCTGAAAGGCGTCAGAGGCAGGACACAGCCTAATCTTCGGGTGTGAGATCTAGGGCTGCTTCCTGCTGGCCTGCAGCCGGCGTAAACATCGCTGCCGGGGAGCCAAGAGTCAGTGGTTTCTGCAGCCCAGAAAGGCAACATCAATATTTATGGAACTGGTATAAACTACATCTATTTATTTTAGAAAAAAGCACATATGAGATGTAAGGAACAAGTTCCAAGTCACCTCCGTGTCTCGCTGCAGGGCAGGGGTTTATGGCGTAATTGCTCTAGCTAACACTTAAAAGCTAGCAGCACATGCAGATTCGCTTGATGTGTAAATCACCATTCTGAAGCCCGCGTTCACTTAAACTTTTTCACACGCTCTGTCTCTCTTTTCTAATTTCAGCAACTGGACCTTCGTTCCTGCCCCAAGCCAATTGTTTTTATCATGCATTCATTCTTATCTGCTAAGATTACAAGACTTGGCTTGGTGGCTTGAGCAGAGGGGCGATTTGCCCTAGAAAGGAGGCCTTCGATGCCACCGAAGACTGCTGCCAGACCCGTCCACCGGGAGCCCTGCACCAGACGTGGTGTGCGAGGCCGGCTGTGCGTCACCGGAGCCAGGTGTGATGCCCCCGGCTCCTCCGTCCGCAACCACAAGGGGCACAAGGTGTACCCTAACAAACACCATGAGATACATCAGAATAACATTTCTTAGAACAGACAAGGTTGAAAAGGTGAGGGGGATTGGGTGTACCTAGCATAGCTTCTAAGTAATGAGAACCAAGGACAAGGCCACCAGAACAGCAGGTGCAGATCGTAATCATGCCAGTTTCTAGGCAACAGGCTCGCCCAGGTACGCCGGGCCGAATAGACGGGAAACGGATATTTTCACCTATTTCCCCATCCCAGTAACAAGGGCCAACTGTCTTATTGCAGTTTATTTCCTAATTCTAGTTGATTTGACTTTCATTGATAGGGAAAGAAAAATTCTCCAAACAGAAGCCCACTTTCTATGTAACTAGGAATCAGCTGTTATTTTTACTTTTTTCTCAGTGAGCTGTCTGCAGTGTTGTTCTCCAAAGTGTTCTCATCAGCATATGCTGAGCGGGAATTAAATAAAGCACCTGATACTGATCTGAGGTACAGGCTGGCGCACTCGGAGCCCAAGTACACTGCTTCACTTGCAAAGCTTTGCTGAAGAGTTGTGTGCACAGAAGATCATTAATCCCGGGGCAGCAGTCACAAGGGATGCTGACTTACACCGAGACGGATAGCTTTACTGGTAGAAAGCAAATTATGCTTTTTAAAAGATTGTCATCATATATATGTGCACATACACATACATACATATATGTGCATACACACACACCCCAAACATGGTTGAGAGTATGGAATTGTCCCCATATGATGGTTTCCTGGGAAGTAGGAGCAGCTGACAGCCCTTCGTCCCTGGGTTTGTATGCATGCATTTCCAAGCAAGTAGTGGAGCACTTGCATTACATTCTGGAAGGTGCTTGGTTTTACATGTAAGCCCTTTGCTGCACCCAGATCTACACAGTGTCTGCAGCTCTTTGCAAATCCCAGGGAAATAATATAATGACCTGATCTTTTTCTAGTAAAAAATATTTTGGGACTGTGGAAAACACATCACCTCTCATAATTAATTCACTAGAAATAACACCCATTGTTTGATGTTGAAGTCACTGTTTTCAAACCTTGAAAAGCAGCTCGAGAATTTCTGGAGGCGTTTCTAACCCCCTCTCCCCTTGGTTTACACACACGAATGTACTCTCAGACCTGTGTTTTAAGTGTCGTACCTTAGCAAATTCCTATGCAAGGAGGCTTAAAAAGCAAGTCTGTTTACAGGAATGCAAGCTTGTTCTCTCAGATATGCATATCTGTTGAGTTGCAGAGTTTTATTTTAGATCAATCATTTCTTTAGCATGTCATTCGTAGGACCCGAGCCCTGGATGAAGTGGTGTTTTGGCTGTGGGCGGGCCTGGGCTGTAGCTTTGTGAAACACCATGGCAAATGAATTTCATGACTGCTGACTGCCTCCAGACTGTAATGCCACTGTGATCTTTCGAGAGGGATACCGGGTGCAGCCCTTGTCTGAACCTTCAGAGCACCTTTCTTCCTGTGAGAACAATTCAAGAAGCTAGTGGGTTTTGGTTTTGTTTGACGTGTATGTTTGCAAACCATAATAGCTATGTTTATTTGGGGGACTTGGTACAGGTATATAGCATATAGTGATCATTTTTGTTTCCTTATTGTTTTTGTTAAGCAATCAAAAAAAAAAAAAAAAACCAGCAGCAGCTTGAGGATATTGATTGTGTGTTTGTTTCCTGTTCTACAATACTGAAGGGTAAAATCCCAGCTTAAACACTGTAGGAAAACACTGACCCATTTATAAAATGCACTCTTTCACTATATATTTTCAAAATCACTGGAATGTTGTTATACAAGAAAATTCTACTTCTCTATTGTAAATAACACATTGAAATACATATATTAATGCCAATAGCTTAATTCAACAATATGTAATTTAAGGTGCTCGGTACTACATGAAGTATGTGTCAATCACTTCTAATTAAATAGCAAAGATTCTATTATATATTTATAGACAAATTAAAATAATCACAGTTGCAAATGTTTCACCATCGCTTACGTCTTGGACTGACTGATACCTGTGTGAGAGCCAAAAGATGCTATGCCTGCTACATTTATAAAAATTTAATTTAAATATTTATATTTTAGGAAAACATATTTGAATAAAATGAATGCATTTTCTGGGGTAAATTAAAATGTATTATTAGCAAGAAATAGAAAATTTTACTAAGAGAACTGTAAATATAAATCTTTTCTTTCTCCCAATTAAAATGTATCTTATCTGAGTGGCTATGATGAATCGATTTCTAATACTTATTTTTTCTCATCTTTGAGTCTAAAAGTCACGGTGACTTTACATTTCCGCTTCTGCCTGCGTGTGGCAGTACGCGTGACGTCAGCTGGTGGGTGCGGAGGGGCGAGAATCAGGGACCCGGCAGCGTTCAAGTTGTCTGCGGAGTTTGGTTTTCTCCACATTGCTCTACGCTCAGTTCTGTGACTTGATTCACAGAGCCAGTCTCTGATCCGCAGGGCTTTCAGTGAGATTTTATCTGATCTGTGGAGAGCTGCCCACTGGCCTCTAGAAACGGCCTTGTAGGCACTTAGGGAAGCCCAGAAGGGCTGCAGACGCGAAAGCTCTGTGACTTCAAGTAAGTACGAGAAATGAAACTGTAGACTTCCCCGGGCAGAGGCATTTGTTAGTTCGGTCAGTTGATAGATTTGTGGGTGGGCTCACCATAGCCTGGCTGAGAGAATGGTTTTTGGAAGTGCATTGAGTATTTTTCTTTTTAAAAATGTGTGTTTATAGCACCATAAGCATCATGTACAATTTACATATGAACTAAATATTCATCAGATTTTCAGTGCAGAAATTTATATTTTGTTCTAAATATATAGCGCAATAGACTGGGTCATGGTTTTAGGATGGTCATAGAGGACTAAGAAGAGGAATCCTGCTGCCAAGATTGGATGTGCTGATGGGCAAGGGGATGCCGCTAGCAATTATTCATGGGTTTTTTTTCCACAGAAATTCATTTCATATAAGCTTGGGCTGGAGAGACAGCTCGGCAGTCTAAGTGCCTTCCTGGCAAGCACAAGGACTGGCGTTCAATCCCCATTACTGCATGCTATACCAGCCCTACCCCCGAACATGCAGTGGTGGCCATGGAAACCCAGCACAGTGGCGCCCCAGTGCTGGGGAGGCTGAGATAGAAGGAACACTACAAGTCCAAGCTGTGTAGTGAGACCCTTTACCAAGTACATGAACTATATA